GGATGGCAGCTGCTTTCCTGATGGGGCCAGAAAGACCAGGCCTCATGTGCATATTTGCTGGAGGAAAACAACTAACTTGCTAAAAGCTCTTGATCCTCTGCATTTCTTAATGCATTTTTAAACTTTCAGGAAATAATAATTTAAAATATAACACCACCACTCAAAATTCTTTGGAAAGCCTTTCCCCTATTCTTCTAGAGTCTCCCTTGGCAGGTTTACCAGTGTCAGGGGCCAAAGGAGGGATTCCATTACCCTAGCAGATGGTGTGCCATGCTGAAACTGGGTATTGTCCACGTGAGTAGGAGGTGCTACAGGCTGAAAGTTATAGACTATGACTCTCTAAATGATCAGGAGACTATTTTATTTGCTTTCTGTCTGCCCTCCATCTCAGTTTCTCTCCTGGACTGCTTCATCACCAGCTCAATAAATGACTATTTTTGCACAGGCAAGGGTAGTAGCTCTCTAGGGATTTCTTTAACAACAATATGATTCTGCAGTGAAATTTGTATGATATAATGCAGGACCCACACTAGTTTCTCCCATTACCCTCTTTCCCTTTCTAAATAAAACTGATGTTTGTGCAGTATGCAGACTAACAACTACTCTACTAAGCTGTCTAAAATAACCTTTTCTTCTTGAACCTCTGAAAGGAGGTCATTTATGTCAGAGACTGTTCCCTTGTACCTACTTCCCCTTCTCTGGTTCCTTCTGGCAGAACGAGTACCCTCTGCTGTCCCTGGACTAATTCTGCTGCCATGATTCACCCAACATCAGTGGAGTTTGTCAAAATGGGCATATCTGGCTCCACGTAAGGCAAACTATCTCAACTTCATTTTCCAAGCCTGTCCAAAGTAATGCCTATTATGCCTACATACAAAATAGAAAACTTAAAGAGTGACTACAAAAACAACATAAAATTTAAAAGCACTGGTAAATTTCTCATTTCAAATTTCTACACTGTTGGAAAAAGAAAAAAAAAGAGCTGGTGACTAATGTGTGGCATACACTCAGCATGAATAAGCAGAGAGCATATGGAGTGGGTCAGTTAGAGGGCAAGATATTCTGAATTGCAATAGATTGCAGAAACTATAAGGTTTAAGCAGTGAATCACACACAATTCTAATGAGACTGCTGTTACATAAATTGTGCTGAGAAAGCACAGGCTCTGCCAAGAAAAAGCAAACCCATTGTCAAGCTTAATATGATTCAGCTACCTAAATATAACAGAAAATCCACCACAGCTTTAGCAGTAATCCTGGAGCTAATGGCCACCTTTGGAACCTGAAGATGGAGAAACTTTCATTGAAGGTTGGCATTCTGAGTATGGGGTATAAACCATCTGCTGGCAGATCACCTGAATACCAGATGTCTGCGGAGTCCTTGTTTCAGTCAGCACTTACTGGGATCTAAGCTCTAAGGATATCAAAGGAGAGAACATCTTGGTCTAGGTGGAGCACATTAGGTGCCCCCTCGCCCTACTTTCTTCTCTCTGCAAACAAGGATTGTGGCAAGGATGGATGAGACATAGTTCTTTCTGTTGTGCCATCATCTGGAGGAATGCTGTCTTAGTCTAGTTACGGATAATATGTACTAAAGAGGGCAAAAAATTCCCTTAAAAGTTTCATTCTAATTAACTAGCCTGTGTGTGAGGCAAAATGCTAGATGATCAAACAAAAGCCTGTTAAATATTCACAATTTTTCTCACTTTTAATATCCTGGGCTCCTGATCAAGGCAAACCACAGTAAACGACCTACATGACTAATGAAAGGTTCCTCATCAAGTATATGGATCTAGAGCTTCTTGACCTTCCAGGAATTCAATGCTAAGTTGATGCTTTATATATTTTGGAAGTTATCAAAATGCCCTGCCAAGACCACAAAGAATAACAGAAACATTTTAAATACTGGAAGGCCAAAGATGGCAGTAGAGAAGCAGCTATGTAAGCAATAACAAACACAAAAATCCCTCAACGTCAAGTATCAATTATAGCATACATTTTCTGAAGAACTGCCACCGTGTCTTCCTAAGCATGCGGTGAGGATTAGCTGTGGCCTAGACCCAGTGCAAGCTCCCACAAAGATAACTCAGATCAGGGGCAAATGTCTTGGCTCTAATTTCAAGTCCTGGTTCTGCCATTTATCCTCTCTGTCAGCTCAGACAGGTTCTTAACCTGCTGGGACCACAGTCTTCTCAGCGGTAAAAGGTGATAACAACAGTAACCACTTTCACAAATCAACAGGAAGTAGAGAAAAGAAAGAAAGAAAGAGAGAAAACCCAGAAACCACTATAGCATTGTTGTGAGGACCAAATTAGATGAAGTATATAAACACTTAGCCAAGGGCCAGGCACATGCTAAGAGTTTGATAAAATCAGTCCTTACTGTGTATTCACATCTACCCTCAAGGTTTTTTTTTTTTTTTTTTTTTTTGAGACGGAGTTTCGCTCTTGTTACCCAGGCTGGAGTGCAATGGCGCGATCTCGGCTCACTGCAACCTCCACCTCCCGGGTTCAGGCAATTCTCCTGCCTCAGCCTCCTGAGTAGCTGGGATTACAGGCACGCGCCACCACGCCCAGCTAATTTTTTGTATTTTTAGTAGAGACGGGGTTTCACCATGTTGACCAGGATGGTCTCGATCTCTCGACCTCGTGATCCACCCTCCTCGGCCTCCCAAAGTGCTGGGATTACAGGCTTGAGCCACCGCGCCCGGCCTTACCCTCAAGGTTTATGTTCAGCTGAAATATAATCCTTACAGACCTTGTTTGTTTGTTTCTTTTTTTTTTTTTTTTTTTTTTTTGAGACAGTGTCTTGCTCTGTCGCCCAAGTTGGAGTGCAATGGCGTGATCTCAGCACATTGCAACCTCCACCTCCTAGGTTCAAGTGATTCTCCTGCCTCAGCCTCCTGAATAGCTGGGATTACAGGTGCCTGCCACTATGTGCGGCTAATTTTTTTGTGTGTTTTTAGTAGAGACGGGGTTTCACCATGTTAGTCAGGCTGGTCTTGAACTCCTGACCTCAGGTGATCTGCCCGCCTCGGCCTTCCAAAGTGCTGGGATTACAGGCGTGAGCCACTTAGTCAGGCCCATTGTTTATCTCTTTCATCCTGAAGATAGGTAAGTCAGTATTAGACTGTTACGAATTGGGGAAAAAACAGAAAAGGAAGGTAACTTTCTAAAGGTCAGGGCCAATACCTCCCTAGTTTCTGCGTCCTGCTTTTCCAAAGAAATGAGGCGCTTACCAGCTCTCCAAAGTGTTTCATGGCATATTCCAACACTCCGGCTGCTGCCTCCGGCTGCTGTAGCTTATTATTAATGCTGAGAAAACAAAGGGAAGAGGTAGTTACACTCAACACGTCTGAGGGTAGGGTAGGAGATGTGCGGGTCGTTTGTGGGCAGATAGCTTACCATATTTTGAGGACGATGTCCTGCAGATGCCAAAAGAGTATCAATTATCTATTACCATCCAGAAAGCTCAGTTTAAATAATTTCATCTGAAAAAAGGTTTTTGGTCTCCTCCCCTAATTTTTGGGGTCAATAATGGGAACACTCATCTTTGGTGTTCTGGGGCCCTTCCTCCAATAGCACAGACTGGTTTCCTCTCAGATCCTGGCAGGTGGGCAACACGTGTCTGTTTCTGAAACACCAGAAACCTTGGATACGAAATTATCCCTGTTGTAGTTCACAACCATATCAGAATCCTCTGAACATTTTTTGTTGAGACAGGGTCTCACTATGTGGTCCAGGCTGGTCTCAAACTCCTGGGCTCAAGTGATCTTCTTGCCTCAGCCTCCTGAGTAGCTGGGATTACAGTAACATATCACAGTGCCTGGCTCCTCTGAACTTTTACGTCTTAACTTCTCATCAGTTGCTTTTAGTAGTCGGAATAATGAAATTAATCAAAAGCATCAGACTGTGAACGACACAGAGATGGTACCAAGGTTGGACCATGCACATCAATAGCAGAACCCTGGGAGCAGTGGCAATGCAGCCATGCTGAGTGTTCTGACAGAGCCCAATCCCTTCAAATTCAGATGCCTCCCTAGACCCTCTTCAGGGGCTGTCCCCTTCCACCCTTTACAGAAGGCTGCCAAGGGACAAGATCTGGAGTTCCTTGAACTGGCTTGTACTGTAGAGATGCTTTTCACTAATGACACCCTGCTCTGCTGATGCCTTATTTAGGCTGGAGGGCCGTCACTGCATTGGGACAACTGGGCACTGTCACTGGGAGATCTGGTGCCTGAAGATGGTTCATCAGAGGCTGCTAGGAGGCCCTGAAAGCAGAAGAGCCATGGGAGCTTCGACCCTTGTTCCCATAGGAACATATGCAACTAAGCTCAACACTGAATATAAGCCTGAGTTACGGAAGGAAGGAAAAGAGGGGAGGGCGAAGGAGCTGGCTTGAGAAATTCACAAGACCACAATGATTGTATCTGTTTAAAGGTAGGGAGCAAAATGTGACACATCAACCTGGGCGTCTAGACTGGTTTAATGAGCAAGGATCCAGTTTACTGCTTTGAGTACAAACTGTCTACTTGACCAGAATTAACTTTTAAGTGGTTTTGGGAAATTCCAGGATTTGAGTTCAATGTGGTAATATGGCAAAAAATTGCTGTTATAAATATTATTTTAAAAAATCCAAATTCCGCCACATTTCTTCCAATATAACCAAAAGGAAACTGCCCAGAAATCTAAAGAAGCTAACATTTGTGAAAGTAATAAGCTAATGCCTTGTGTTTACAAAGTGTTTTCAACTAATCTTTCCAACCTATCACTCCTTTGACCTCGAGCATCGTAAGATTGTGGGAAGGGAGAGTTGTTATCAGACCTGTTCACTAACAGGAAAGCTAAAGCCCAGGAAAGCCAGGGATTTTCCCCAAGGCCCACAGGAAGCAGGACAGCCCCCCCGTATCTGAAGCCCCTTATGCCTCTTTGTTAAGGACAAGTTGGGGATGAAGCAGCCTTGGATTTGGAGTCAGAAAACGGGTCCCCCCTCTGCCCCCCGAGTCAGACTGATCACATGCTGACATGATCAAGCTTGAAGGAGACACATCTCACATGCGATAGTAAAAACCCAATCGTCGTGCATACATTAATACAAAAGGATCAAAACTTGGGCTTAACTTTCTTGAGGTCTAATTATGCCAAATATAAGCTGTGTGATTGTCATTTTAAAATTTTTGATTTTTAATTTTATGGGTACAAAGTAGGACATATTTAAATAATCTTTTTTGAATTTAATTCCTTATCTATACAACAGAGCGAATACCACCTCCTCCTTCAGAGGGTTCTTCAGGGAATTAAAAGAAACAATGAACATGAAATTGCTAAGCAGGTTCTTCATCCATGTTTGTCCCAGTATAAAAGCTGCTAGCTTGTCTGCAGGAATAACATACACCTACAGTGGAGACTTAAGTTAGGACTAGGAAGTCATGAGAGCAAATTCGAAACGCTTTCTGAGTAGAACTGTTCTACTCAGAAAGTCCAGAATCCAGGTTCTAGGCTCCAGATATGTGGGGGAAGCTATGGGGCTGACCCACTGGTGTTTCTTGTGCTGGTACTAAGCAAAGCAATGAGCCAGAATATGCTCCATAAACTTATTTGGAGATGTTTTTAATTTCAAAGTGAAACCATAGCATGGCAGTTTCCTTTAGGGAGCCGTGTATGAGTTTTTCCAAGCTGAGAATGAAAAGTAGGTCTAAAGGGACCTACTCCACTGCGGGTTCATTGGGAAGAAGTTCTCAATGCCTCTTGGCCCCGTAAGTCAGGTACTGTACTTGGTTGCTCAGTCACATGGGGCTGGGTCAACTGTACTAATACTACTACTAGGGATAGATTTGGGATTATCTAGTTCCTTGAAGCCAAATAAAGATTTCGAAGCATAAGAAAACAAGAAAAAAGAAAGCCAGTGGCTGGGCACAATGGTTCACATCTATAATCCCAGAGCTTTGGGAGGCTGAGGCAGGAGGATTGCCTGAGCTCAGGAGTTTGAAACCAGTCTGGGCAACATAGTGAGATTGTCTCTATTAAAAAAAAAGAAAGAAAGAAAGAAAGAAAGCTAGTATATAGTCTATCTATTCTAAGTATATGTTCCCTGCATTATTACACTGGACTCTTGGGATGGCCTCGGGAGGAGTAAAACATTGTTCTGATAAGGAGGATGAAGTGGTGTTCATCTGAACTGGAAGAAGCTAACCCTAAGACACAGATATAAAAATCCAGGAGTTCTAACAACTGTCCTCAATCTTGTGCTCTGGAAAATAGTCTATGTTCTTTTTTTCTTTCTTTTTTAAAGAGATGGGGTCTTGCTCTGTCATTCAGGCTGAAGTTCAGTGGTATGATCATGGCCCACTGCAGCCTCAATTTCCTGGGCTCAAGCAATCCTCTGGCCTCAGCCTCCCAGAGTGCTGGGCTGACAGGTGTGAGCCATCGCAACTGGCCTCCAGCCTATTTTTAAATTTTAACGTTACCAAAGCTTGGCTCACTCCAAGGACAAAACAACAAAAACCAAACCAAATACAAGCCTTTTTCTAATCCACTCTCTCATGTATTACAGTGCATAAAAAATGAGTCTTATAACAAACTGATCAAAATTAGGAAGTACCGATTGGGGACCTCAAAGGAGAAACAAATTTTACCTTAATACAGCTAGGGCCTTTATACACTGCCTCTAAGGACTGACCAGCATAGCTTTGCAAATTAAGAATGAAAAATCATACGGCCCTAACTCCTTTAAGAGACATTTTAGGCTCGGTGCGGAGGCTCATGCCTGAAATCCCAGCACTTTGGGAGACCAAGGTGGGTGAATCACCTAAGGTCAGGAGTTCAAGACCAGCCTGACCAACAGGAAGAAACCCTGTCTCTACTGAAAATACAAAATTGCTAGGCGCAGTGACTCACGCCTGTAATACCAGCATTTTGGGAGGCCGAGGCTGCAGATCACGAGGTCAGGAGCTCAAGACCAGGCTGACCAATATAGTGAAACCCTATCTATAATAAAATGTGAAAATTAGCCAGGCATGGTGGTGCATGCCTGTAGTCCCAGCTACAGGCAGGAGAGTCTCCAGCTGAGGCAGGAGAATCGCTTGAAACCGGGAGGCGGAGACTGCAGTGAGCCAAGATCGCGCCACTGCACTCCAGCCCAGGCAGCAAGAAAGAAACTCTGTGTCAAAAAAAAAAAAAAAAAAAAAAAGAAATTACAACTTTGACTAACAAATTCATGAAAAATGAGCAGCCTCACTCTGATAAATTAATTTGCCTCTGATTTAAGAACCTGAAGGTAAGAAGGCCACTGTCCACATCCACTCTCAATCTCTTTTTTTTTTTTTTTGAGATGAAGTTATGGTTAAAGGAGGCTGCATTGCTCTGTCACCCATGCTGGACTACAATGGCGGCTCACTGCAACCTCTGCCTCCTGGGTTCAGGTGATTCCCTTGCCTTAGCCTCCCAGTTAGCTGGGATTACAGGTACCCACCACCATGCCTGACTAATTTTTGATTTTAGTAGAGATGCGGTTTTGCCATGTTGGCCAGGCTGGTCTCAAACTCCTGAACTCAGGTGATCCACCCACTTCAGCCTCCCAAAGTGCTGGGATTATAGGTGTGAGCCACTGTGCCCAGCCTACTCTCTTTTTCAAGACAGGGTCTGGCTCTGTCACCCAGGCTGGGGTGCAATGGGGCAATCTCAGCTCACTGCAACGTCCACCTCCTGGACTCACATGATCCTCCCACCTCAGCCTCCACCACCACATCCAGCTAGGTTTTTGTATTTTTAGTAGAAATGAGGTTTCGCCATGTTGCCCAGGCTGGTCTCGAACCCCTGATCTGCCTGTCTCAGCCTCTCAAATTGTTGGTATTACAGGCGTAAGCCACCATGCCCAGCCACACCTACTCTCTTGATCCATTCAAAGAATAAAGAGACTTTTATTGAACCAGCTGCTATCACCCTGCATATTCTTTCCTCCTGCCCACTTTCCACTTTAATTTCCTATACGACTTTCCCCCTAAGCTACCTTTCACCTTTCTCTTCTTTCCTTCTGAGGAGTTCCCATGTATGCCTCTAAGTCTTCTGGAGAATACTAAGGATGTGGACAGTGAAGTAAACAGGCTTATTAATCTTGGTGATCAAGAGTCTGTCATCTTGTTTGGGATTTTTAAGTTTTTCTTCTTCCTCCATGCCTTCTGGCACTCCATCGGGGAGGCAACAGCAAGGAGATAACAAAGTAAGAAGAGAGGTCACCCTATGTGCCAGCCACTGTGCTTACTGTTTCTATGTATTATTTCAACCCTGTGAAACCATTAATAATATTCTCATTTTATATATGAAGAAAACTTGGCCCAGTAGGTCACAGGCTGTTGCTTTCTCTTAAAAGGTGACTTTCTCTTAAAAACGTTACCACTGAAAAGTATCTTTAGCATCATGTTGAGGTAAAGAAATAAAAAGTATCTTAAGTAATAACGAAGGGTATGCTGCAAGCTCTGCAATGGGAGGGACCAGACCGTGTCTTAGCTTTCTACTCTCGGCTCTTAGCTTTCTACTCTCAGCATCAGCAGGCACCCAGGAATCACCTGTAAAATGAATGAATGTCAGCAATGGGTGGGACATTTCCATCACCTCACTCTCTAGAATTCATTGTACAGGAGAAGGGAGCCCTCCTGTGCCTTCATTTTAACTTCCTCACTCTTACCCCCAAGCTCCCATCTCATATTTTTTGTTTCTTTTCAGAAGGTACTAACATGGCTTCGGCCACGTGACGGCAAGCCACCACAGCAGGCTTTTCAAAGACAGCCAGACTTATAGTTCAGGCTGCAAAGTCCAGGACAAGCAAGCCTCTGTGAAAACGCAGGAGTTCATAGCCACTAAGTCCCAAGTCTCCTGCCTACCTGGGTGATACAAAGCTGTCCTTTGAATTATGTCTCTTTTCTACTGAGATGTGGTTTTATGAGACTGAAGGGAGAGACTGTATGTTCGGCTCCTGTGAAGAAATCGCCTGTGCTCAAAAGCCCCCTTAGCGAGGAATTCTTATTTTAGAAGGCAGCTGGGAGTTTTATACAACCCATTCTATAAACACCCCCTTGTGTGCCCCTCAGTCATTCCTTATTAATGCTGGAGGCTTATAAAGGGCAAACTGTTCAAAGCCCCAGCCCGACAGCAGGGGAGTACTTAACACCACAAACCAGACCCTGCTGATGCTGGTCTGGTGGAAAAGATCTGAACACAAACACGTTTAGAGAGACTGAGGCTTGGAGGCAACGTGCCTACAACACTATGCAGAAATGTCAGGTCAACCAGATTTCCCATCGCCTCCTGACATGCACTGAGGCCAAAAGGAAAAGAGAACTGAGTCCCGAGAATTTTCTGAACCAGTGATTCCCACTGCCTCCCAAACATGGGTGGAGGGTATGTTGTATTCTACTCTGTTTTCCAGTGATAATATCCAGCTGCTATCACACAGCTGTGAATCTGTGGAGCAAACAGAAACTGTCTATCTGCATAATAGAACTCAGAGCCCACAACTGAACCTGGTGTTAGGAAGACAATGAAGACAGGCAGAATGAGAACATGGTGAATCTGGGTATCACGAGGAGACGGTAGCGGCCATTGTACAGGCATATTCTCATTCATTCTCCACTCTCCCCACCCCAGCCCAAGACTGAATTATGGTTGAAGGAGGCTGAATTCAGAGTCTCCTTTAATCAAACTCGAGTTCTGAACTGAGTTGGGAAAGCTTTTGGCAATTAAGAAAAATATTTTCTAGAGATGAGCAGAACTAACACTAAGAAATTGCCTTGCTGCCTTCCTATGGCAAACGTCACATCATTCCGCCAAGCATTGTATTCCCACCATCTGGAAATCTTGTTCCCAAGGCAGGGCAAGCATGGGAGCTGAGTGCATGATTCGGCTGTGCGGACGCTTCCCCTGGCAGAGGCCTTGTCAGAAGAGATGGGAAGCAGCCCATGTGGGCAGTGGGCCTGCTGCCTCCCCATGGCCTTTCCCTCTCAGGCCTTCTCTAGCTGCCCCCCGCCCCCTTTTTTTTGAGACAGGGTCTCACTCTGTCGCCCAGACTAGAATGCAGTAGTGTGATCTCAGCTCACCACAACCTCCACC